GTTCGGCTTGACGTCTCAATGAATTAAGTGCTTATTGAAGTGGGGTGGTCAATTGGGGAGTATGATGGGCGTACCAAGCTAGTACGGTGCGTGAAATAGCTCCAGAGGGAGTACGCTAAGCGTACGAGCTCACTACACCCCACATACCCAATAGGTGGGCTTTAGATTTTGGGCTCATCTTTGGACATTAGGAGATTAGGGCCATTTTGGGCCATCATATTTCTATCTTTGGGCTGAGTCTTTATTTTTGGTTCTTTGGGTTGAAGTCCTACAAAGGGGTTTGAGCTCAATTTCGAAGATTGGGCCATATTTGGGCCTTGGGTGTCTGTTTTTGGAATTAGGCCTTTTTTAGTAGCTGGTTTGGGCCTTGGCCTTGAGCTAAGTTAGGTAAAGGGTAAAATGGTCTTTTACCCTAGTTTAGACTCCTAATTATGAGTTGGGAGCTAATTATTAATTGGTTGTTGGTGGTGATGATAACATGAGGATTTTATCGGACCATCATGTAGTGATTTATCTGAGAGATACTCGACAACTTGAGGTGAGTTTTCTCACTGTGTTTAGTGGGTCGAAGGCAACAATGCCGACCCATCATTTGTTTTGTTAGGATGCTAGATGTCTTTGTGACTCTTGCATGTGTATGCATTGGTATGTATCTCGACCGGGGCTCGATGTCGGGCGAGCCCCGATGACTGTCTTATATGTTATTATCTTTGTGAGTATTGAATGTGTTAGAATGTTTATATGTTTATATGTTATATATGTATCGGGTAGGGCCCGATGTCAGGCGGGGCCTAGTGATTGACAAATCTGTATGCCGAGCGGATCCTGAGGTCGGGTTGGACTCGATGTCGGGTGGGTCCCGATGAAGGGCGGTGGCGTAGTATGTATTTATTATGTATATGTTGTGATATATCGGAGATGGTTGGATTGAGATTTTAGATGAGTTACGAGCAGGTCCCTTCTTCTGATATCACATTAGAAAAGAGAAAGATGATCGTTAGTCGACGTTCGGGAGGAATTCCCAAGATGAAGCTCCGAAGATCAAGTTAGAATGAGGTTTAAGAGAAATGACAGTAAATCATAGAAAAAGAGTTTTGTCCCCTTCTTCATGAGGAAGACGGATCCTTTTATACCTGTTTAGGAGGCATGTGCCCCTTAATTGATTCTGTTGAGTATTCCCTTGTGGGGTGCGACGTGGCAAACCCGTATTGGAGGATCCTCTGTCATGCCTTTTAGCCTCATGCCCTCATTGGCTAGAGGGAAATCTTTTGATATTATGATGATCATGGCTATTATCGGATAGGCAAGTGGAACTATCTGATTGGTACCATGTTTTTCGGTGTGTTATTCCTTGGAGAAGAGGTTAAGGCACGATTCTACACCTTAACCATCATACCAGTGATCTTTGCGTTGGCGAAGGCCCAGCCGTGGACTCGGACTGGGTCTAACCGGGTTGTGACCAGGCCAAGCTTGGCGTTAGTTTGACTTCTCCTTTTTTAACATTCTCCCTGAGGGATACGTTAAGAAACCCCTTAGGCTTGTAGGTGTATGCGACGACTTGATAGTGTTGTCGTTCGAGCAAATATTACGACACGTGTATGTTTGAGATTATCTCTGACATTTGACATGCTATAGATAGAACCGTCTATGTGTGTCCGATCCATCGTGAGACGGTTCGTGACACCAATTTTTTTTTTTTCTATAAAATCCCTCCTTTTCCCAAGATCTTTCATCCTCGCCTCCTTTTTTTTTGCTATCGTTTTATCGACTCAGGCATTACACAAAATTTTCTTTTCTATCATTCATCTGTTCTCGACAATGGACCATTATGGTAGAGTCCCTACCGTAGAGGAATTCCAACTTCTGCAAGATCGTTTTGGTTTCTTACCGGAGTACGGTGTGATGATTCTGGCAAAGGGGTTATCGATCTATGACTGTCCTCAAGGGAAAGTGGGGGTCCCGATTCCTCTATTCGAAGCGGGGTTGCGCCTACCGACATTTGATTTTTTTGAAATGATTGTGCATCACTATGGTTGTTTCGTTGACGAGTTAACCCCGAGTTCTGTCAATAAGATCGTAGGTTTTGAACTGATTTGTCGATCTTTGGGTTGTATACTGAAATGCAAACCTACAAATGATTAAAACATACTTGAGGGAAATCTCACATTGAAAGTTCCTTAGGATCTCTATGATTTTCCTTTATTCGAGTATATATCATGTGCTTTCAGTAGTACAGGCCCAATACTAACTTCCACACCTATCCGTACATTCCAAAAAAATATCCTGAATCCACTAAGTCACTTTACTATGGTAACTCTCATAATCGTTATGCTAATCAACATATATATTTCGCTACATCACTCCTTAGGCTCTCCTAAGAATCCTCATCTCACTTACTTCTATAGTACTATTAATCTCTACCAACACCGCCCGTTTCCTTACGCATGCAAATTATACACAATACCAGATGAAATAGATTGTCGAATAAATGATTCTACCCTAAGCCCACAAGCCGAAAAGGAATAGGAAATAAGGCTAAATCAATCATTCTAAGGCTATATGATCGTAATCGTATATAATTTTTAAACATGCACTTAGCAATTAACTTTGCCAATATAGACTCTAGGTAATTCATAACATCAAATTCCTCCTAGGTTACAAGGCATCACATAAATCAGACAATTATATCAAATAATTATCGAAGGTATTCTTATCCCAATTCAAGCCTGCAATTCACATAAACACATAATTCTCATGTATGGGTATTTTGAGAATCACTTACTTGAGTTTGGCTGAATGCACACATCCTAACCCTTTTCTTTGAAAAAAAATATTTTTAGAAAATTTATTTTCTTTCAAAAAGATTTTCAATTCCTCGGTTTGAGTTCAGACACAACCGAGAGTGTTCCCGAATCCCTCAAACAAAGGCTTTAATACCAACTTGTAATGTCCAAAAAAGACTAATAAAAAATTTCATTTTTAAACCATCAAATCCATACAACATTAGTTCCAAAATCAGTCATAGTAAAATGTATCTCAAACATCAAAGTAAAATGATAATAGTTAATACGAAAAAATCATTAGGGGATATTATGCAGTCAAGCTGGGCCATTCCCTTTAAAATTGGAAGTACTTGAAAATGTTTAAACCACAAAATTGTAAACATAAAGCTTAGCAAGTTCCCCAAAACATGATATTCCATACATATCAGTGAACCCAACCCTAGGGGTGTATTTCAACCCTATGTGAATGTTATGATCCAACCATTGTCTTATAGTCACTTCCAGACTATAACCCAGCTTTAGCCTTTATGTTATGATCCAACGATGGATTCCATGAAGTCACAAAGACAAACTAGTGTTGTAATCCAACCATAATATTTCATACAAGTATTGTGATCCAAGCCCAGTATTTCATAAAAGTCTTGTGATCTAACTACAGTCTTTCTTACAGATGTTGTGATCCGACATTAATATTTCATGTAAGAGTCACAAATATAATCTAGCAACCTACATGGTATAGTGAAAAGACTCACCTTGCAGACGTAGTCAATAGCTAAAAACTCTCGCAATCAATTAATTGAGTGTTATACACCTCCTATTAAACGATATAAGGTAAACCCTTATTCTACCTTCTAAAACTATTCAAATGGGCAAAAGTCAACCAAGTCAAGAAGTCAACAATCAAAATCAACTTCAGCGAGCCTCCACGTCGTGGCCTCCTACTGGCCACGTCATGGCAGAATAACTAGAAAATAGTCAAGCATCCCCTAGTCGCTACATCGTGGTGGCCAAAATGCCACGTCGTGGAAACCGGGTCTTAACAACTTAATGGATTAAGTTGTTGTTGCTTCAACTCTAGGAGCTCCAAAGCTCAGATCTAGCCTTTCCCAAGGTCTTTATGGATAAAGTTTCCAACTTTATCCATTAAGACATCCCAATAAGTCAAGATCTCTAAACCTAGGTCCTAAATGACAACTTAAGGCATGAACAAATCTATTAAGTTGATATACACCAAAGCCACAAATCCATAACTTCCCTAAGGATTTCCTACACCTAAATCATCATAAAAATCAATGCTTTATGGACATGCAGGTCCAATGCATATCTCTTCTAAACTAGGTCAAAACATGAAAGAAATGAACTCAAACTTGTATATGCGACCAAATACAACATAGGACTCCACATCTAGATAATATAACCCCAAAAGGACCTTGAGGATCCATAAACTTGCCAACTTTATGGAATCCATTCCTCTAAACTTCCACAACATGAAGAAAAAGGGACAAGGAACCTAGATTTAGAAGGATGCAACATAAAACTTAGATCCTCAACACTTACAATGGTGCAGAAATATGCTAAAGGATGATGATGAGGCTTGCAAACTAAATCTATGTGCCAAGGGAGCTCCCTTCTCCTTCAAGATGCCAAACACACCAACAAGAACCTTAAGAACTCAACAATAGAGACTAGATCTGATTTGGGTCGAAAAGTAAGATTTTGGACGATGAGGGTGCGCAAGCCCTAGCTCCCACATTTTTTAAATAGGGCCTAAGGCCTCAAAAATTTTAAGGGTTTACCTTCAGATGGTTGTCATGTCGTGGGGCAGAAAAATGATCCGTGGTCACTTTGGTCATGCCATGTCGTGAGGACACCTCTCCCATGTCGTGGGCACTAAAACTCATAATTAAATTTTGAATTAAATATATCTTGAAATTCGGATGTTACATGATCTACAAAAAATAAGTACCAACCGTTTCAGTGTGTTCGGTACCAGTCCATGACCACGATCAATCGATCATCCCTAATTACTTTGCTAATTTGCAATGTATTTCAGGAATTTTCTGGTATATTTTTTGATAGAAAAAGTTAAAAGGTTCGTGTACTAACCTGGCTTTCATGGCCATTTCTAATAATACCTCTATATTAATTTCATAATACATCGATTTGGATTAGATAATAATAAAATGCAAGCTATAAGGGAAAGCGATAGCTTCATTGCTCTGCACAATACACACTTTTGTAAAATATATATATATATATATATATATATATATATATATATATATATATATATATATATATATATATATATAATATATATATATATATATATATAGCTTTCATCGCTTTGCACACAACACACACATTTATATAAAGCAAAACAAAAGATAGGATATGTTTTCTTCTTGTTCCCTAGTTCACGATGTAGAACTTATCCTTAATGAAATGTGTAGATGATCGTAGCGTCGATCAAGAGACGAGCCACATGAAAAAGGCTGACCACCATGTAAGAGCGAACGTGGCCACAACGTAAGTCCATAGCATGATAACAGAACACTCGCTTTCCCCAACCTCAAACAATTGTGTTATCGTACCTGCATATTTCATCCGTTACTTTTCATAGATTTATATATAAAATGATTGCTTTTCTTAAAAATCAAGTAACATATGAATCATACTAATAGCCATAGCTGGTGGAAGCGAATATTGGATCAAAAGAACAAACTGATATAGCGTATCAGATCCCACAAATCCAACATGATGTGCTGCTTTTACAACGCCAATGCCCACGAGTGGCAAAACTACATAACGAACCACTAGAATTCCAATAATGAGCCACAACCCTATGCCTGATTGCTTCAAACCTTAATAAAAATGAAGTCGATAAGGAAAAAAAATGTTCATTTTAAAAAGACTATACGCATTATATTGTGAGTAAATATATTATATATACCCTTAAAAAGATTAGCTCCCACAATCAATGTCATGGCTGGAACTGTTGCTTGACTGTTAGTTTGATCAAAAATAGAAAACAATGAATAATATTTTTGATGTCAAAAAATCGACATATATAAAATAAGTGGTTTAATTGTGGGTACCCAAGGAGAGATGCTGAACTGTCGATGACACGAAGAGGAGCGTTATCTCCGACCATTAACTTTCTAATCGGAGAGATCACCCCTATCAGAAGCCCAACGATCTAACAACAAATTTTGGTAAGTGAAAACAAATCAATGGTGGTTAATTAAGACTTATTGATTAGTACAACTGTTCAGAAAAAGGAACATGATCATACGGTGGCAATGGTGGAGGGTGTTAACCACATCTTGAGGTTGATTTTATCTATAAACATATCCACGTGCTTCTTAATCTTTGTTAACATTGTCACCTGTTCAAATCCATCATTTCATCAAAACAGAAAGTCAAGTAAAACCATAATCTTGATGTTTTCTGTATCACGTTACCTTTATCCCTTCATCATCTTTAAATCCGGAGTTCTGTTCCTCCACTTCTGTAGATTCCTCATCACGAGCTTCACAATCTTCAAAACTCGAGCCACGAGACTGTAGCAACGACTCATTATAACTTTCCACAAACATATCTAAAGTTTTACCACTACAATCAATGCTGATAGTCGACGCCTTGCCGATGTCTTTCCCACTCCCGTTTCCATATGACGCACGTATAATGTTGTAAACAAATGACCATATATAAACTGCACAAATCTGAAACCTCACAACAAGTCATTTCCATCATATATATATTCCAAACTAATTCTAGGATCAATCAATTCAAACTGTGTTCAAGATCAATTTCAAGACGTTTACAGCCATAGAGAGTGAAACCAAAGCTTTCCCGTTAGTCGAACAAGTTTGTTTATCCCCGAATGGACTGTTACTTTCTTCACAAACAGCAGGTATGATGATCAGAAGCAAGTTCCCAAGGTTTCCTATATGAACAAGAGTGATTGATACACGACAAAAGTAAAAGGAAACCTATTTTTTCTTCATAATAACTTTTAAAAGAAATGTATAGTGTATATATTGTATGTACCAGCAGCACATGAACCAATTACAAGACCATGCAAGTGTTGAGGGGTCCTAGTGATTTTAACGAGCACCCATCCAAGTGCTGATCCAATTATGAATGTGAGAAGAATATTAACTGGCATGAACCATCTATACATTCAATCATGTAGTTAGTTCATTATCAAAGGTGATCTTCGAGAACCCTTTTCAACCGGGTCTTGAAAGCGATTAAGTTAAGGGGAAACTGGACTTACAGAGATACTATGTTGCTGGCTGTGATTGTATCAGCGAGGCTACCACCCACAAGTGCTGGAATGAAGACATAGAACACAACCTGTTTACAAAAAAGTTCGCCATTAATGACTTGTTTTCTAAGGTAAGATTAGATTAGAAGTGATGACTGTGAGTTACGTTGTTGAGATGATGACGAGCGGCGTCGCCCAAGATATTAACACGGTCTATGGCGAGAAGAAGGCCGAGAGCAGTGATCAGAAGCGTCTTGAGTACTGGAATCAATGCCACAATAAATAAATCCAGAACTGCCATCGATGCCTCCAGTTTATTTTTGGATTTCTGTTTTCTAAAAATTACTCCCGAATAAAGAATATAAAAGATCAAGCGATAACATATGAATATTTTAAAGATTCTAGTTAAGGAAGGGAATTGATAAAGACAAAATTGTGGAAGGAGGGTATGAACAGAGGAAAGAAGGTGTAGAAGAAAGTGGAAAGCGTATGGATTACTCTAGAACTCGTTGTCAACTTGTCATTGGTGACAAAGGACCATGTGTGTTTGTATAGGTAGGTTTAAGGTCCGTGTTAAATTAAATTGATTCCTATTTTTATATTTTTTATAATATGTCGAATAGATATAAAATGAAAAGAAGTCAGTTTAATTGTTTAAGCCACATTGGTATAGAATTATATTATATATTGTGCATTTAAAGCTACCTAAATTTACATCATACTATTGGTCAAACTATGAAAGTAATATCATTCATTTTTTTTCTGCTATAAACATAATGGTATGTTAATATTCTATGTTTGGGTTTGTTTAATTTCGTAAAGGATGATGAATTAAAAGACTAATATTTTTTTGATTCGTATATATTAGGTTTTTTTTTCCATATTTGACAAATTAATTTGTTTTTTTTTTCTATATTTAATCTTTATAATCGATTACTTCAGGTTAAACATGAAAAATAACTTAATAGGTTAATATATTTTTCAATGTATACACATTTACTTCTTAATATTTTTATACACATTTAGTCATTATAACCAGTTTCATCAAATTTTACTCACGACATCATACGTACGATAATCATTGATAAGATGTTCTTATACATGACTCGTCATTCACTTATATCAATAACCTAATTTACGAAGCGGTCAAATAATGTTAGTTCCTAGTTTTCTCTAAGGAGAAAATGTCTTCGGTTTCGGTTTCATCTATCTGCATAACACAGACAACAAGATTCTTTGTGATTGTTTCATACCAACTCAAATTTGCCCTTCCAAGACAAAAGAATTAAGGAAGACGCTAAAAAAATGTGAACTTCCAAAACAAAAGAACACCCCTAGCAAAATGTTTCATCCATCTCTATAGCAAACAAAAAAAAAATGTGATTGTTTCCTCCCGACTTGAATTTGCACATACAAGACGAAGAATATTGTTGTCTGCTATGAAGTTAAATGAATCTTTGGTTAGAAGAAAGCTAGGGCGCCAACATTATTAGATCAATTCGTAAATTAGATTACTAATATAAGTGAAGGAAGAGCCATGTATGAGAACACATCAATAATTACTATCCCGCGTAAGATATTGTGAACAAAATTCGAAGAAACACATCATAAGAACTAAATGTGTACAAAAATATTAAAGACTAAATGTATACAAACTGAAAAATATATTACTCTATTAAATAATTCTGACTTAACCTGGAGTAGCCGGTTATATGGATTAATTGTCAACATAAAAACAACTTAAATAATAAAGTGTGGACAAAAAAAACCAAATGTGTAAAGACCAAAAAACTATATTACCATTTTAAGTCATATTCTCTATCCTAAATTGGCCAATATTTTTAGAATAATGGTCATATAAACACCAGGTTCATTGATTTTTTGGGTTATGTGCAAAGACTAAAAAATATACATTTAAATAGGAAAATACATATAACCAAAATTTACTACTACTATTATAATTTTTATAACAATAATCAAAACAAAAGAACAGTAATTCTATAGATAATCTTATATAGCTATATGAACTCTAAGATTTTTCTATCATTTTTTTTAAGTAAAAATTTTCAAAACTCTTCATAATTAGTATATTGTAATATATTTTATGAAGTAAAATTTTCATCAACTCTTCATAATCAGTGACTCTAATATATAGTTCTTAATATGAAGACACAAGGGGGTTCCTTTCAATGGTGCAAGATGCCTATTAAAGTTCCAATCATCAAACTCTTATGGGTCTTAGGTTGAAAATTGGACGAAATTTGGGTTTCTAAGTGAACAGTCGTCGCCGTTCTTGGTGCGCATGGCACACCTTCAAGTGTGCGAGGCACATCTTGAAGCTGCTTATAGCGTATCTTTAGGGTGCGTACATGTGGTGCTTTTTCTCTCTTGCTTATTAATTTTGTTTGTTATCTTTTTCAGGTACTATGTTTTGACAGGGTTTTAGACAGTGGCCAGACCAGTTACCAGATAATTAGCCAATTCATCCTTTCCTCTAATTTTTGGATAATATTCCTTCGACTGATCGGAACTCTTACGTCAATCGAAGGGTTCAACTACTTCCCAAACAAATTAGTATTCTGAAGGCATTTTTGTGGCATGATGGGAATGAGCGTTAAAAGTTGTATCTTACCCGTGTGTATGGTAGTGTCCTCTTTACTTGCCATGGATGGCGGCGCCTTTTTAGGATACGAGAGACTATCTATCTGGAGATTTGTTGGGAGTTCTTTTCCACTGTCAACTTTAACAAGGACACCCAATACTTGTATGATCTGTTAGTTTTTACTTTCAGACTAGGAGCCGTGGCTTGATCCTGCAACATTGCGGAGTTGGGGCGAAGGTTAGAGATTTATTCTCCCAATGAGGTGGATATCACTCACTTTGTGCCCTATCTCCATAGTTTTTGTAGCACCTGGTTCCTGGTACGTAAAAATTCATCACAGTTTTTTTCATTTTTAGCCTTGGACTCGGCGAGTCGTAGGTCCGACTCGCTGAGTAGAGACACAATCCGGAACACGTTTAAGTTGGCGACTCAGCGAGTCCATATTATGGACTCGGCGAGTCCCCGCTGTTTGATGAAACCCTAAATTTCAAGGGTTTGCACCCTATTTAAGCCTTCTTATCCGCCCCAAGCTCGCCCCCTTCCCCCCCCCCCCCCCTGAGCCTTATACTTCGTTTAAGCTTGTTCCTTGTGAGATTGAAGCATTTTGGTGTGTTTTCTTGAAGATTTGGAGAGGGAAGGAGAGTATATCAAGAAGATAAGAAGGAGGCCAGGCTTATTAGTGTTATATCAGTGATTTCCTTGAGGTATAACTCGTTTTCCCTCTGTTTTCATGCTTGTAGTCTCTATTAGCTACATGAAAGTCCTTCTTGAGCCATTCCCCAAGCTTTTTTGTGCATTGTGGGTTGTATTAAGTTGTTATCCTCTAGATCTAGGCATGATTGAGTCCCTGGAGCTTGGATCTACTGCCTTTATGGAGTCATATTGCATGAAAGCCCTAGATCTACTCTTTTGGTGCATTTTGAGCCCTAAAACCTTCATTAGTGATTATTTACACGTAAAGTTAGAAACTTTACGTGTAATTCATGCCCTAGAAACCCAAATTTGTGAATGGCATGAGCTGGATTCAAGAAAAATCGAGTGTATAGTAATTGCATGTGGCCGACTCGGCGAGTCGTCCCTCGGACTCGGCGAGTCGAGTCGAGAGCCCCCGAGTTTTCCCCCTTTTCGTGTTTGCGGGTTGGAGTAGTGAGTCATAGGGTGTGACTCAGTGGTTTGGAAGCCATACTCACTCATGTAGTAACTCGGCGAGTTCAGGGTAACCTTCTTGCCTCAAGAACAGGCTCGACGAGTTGTTCATACAGCTCGGCGAGTCTCAGCATAGAGTGTTCATCGGATGAAGAAGAACTCGGAGAGTTGTTCATACAACTCGGCGAGTAGGATGAAGGACTATTGGCCTTTAGCTTAGAAGGAAAACTCGTCGAGTCAATGCCAAACTCGACGAGTAGAGACGGGATAGTGGTCAGACAAAGGGATAGGGACTCGGCGAGTTGACAGGCCAACTCAGCGAGTCGGGTCAACTGGAAGTTAACCTTGACTTTGACTCATGGTTTGGTTAAGGTTAAATGGTCAGTTTACCCTGAGGTCGGTTAGCAGTATTTAACTAAGTGTTTGGTGGGAATTGTAGTCGGAGGATTTCCGGAGCAGCAGCAGCAGCAGACAGACCGTTCCCACACAGATCAGCAGCTACGAGGTGAGTTACCTTCCAGTAGCGGTGGGTCTACGACCACAATGCCGCCCCACCAGTAGGAATTGTATGATAGATGTTTGTCTCTGTGATATTCATCTAGGGTTGCTACTACCTGTGATATGTTATTGTGCTAGTATGATATGATGTTATGTGCTAGTGACAGTAGAGGGAGATAGTCCCCCAGAATACCGGTCGATAGGGCTGAAGGGGCGGTCATGCCCAGCCATGCTAGATAGATTATGTGATATACATGTTATGTGGTAGTAGTTAGGGAGTGAAATAGTCCCCAGTAGCCGGTCGAGAGGACCGAAGGGGAAGCCAGCTCCTAGATATGCTAGTCAGTATCCGGTCGAGAGGACCGAAGGGGAGACCAGCACCCATATATGCTAGTCAGTACCCGGTCGAGAGGACCGAAGGGGAGGCCAGCTCCCAGATAGACTAGTCTGTATCCAGTCGAGAGGAAAATATATGTATGTTATGTGATTGTATGGTATGTGGTATGTTGGGGGAAATCACTAAGCTTCATGCTTACAGTTTTCAGTTTTGGTTTCAGGTACCTCTTCTTCAAAGGGGAAAGAGCTGGCGCGGTAGCGGCCCATCACACACATGCTCCGTATTCCGCACCATGAGATCTTTCTGGGGATTTGTACTCTAACATTATTATGTTTTATGAAAATGTTTTTCCAGACATGCGATATCTTTATAAAATGTTATGATCGGTAAACGTTATATTTCGAATGTTTTGCTAAGTATATGTTTTCAAACATGAAATTTTTGGCTCGTATTTTTGAGTTGTTACAGTTGTATTTGATCGTAGCCATAGGGGTACAGTTTTATGGATGTTTAGGAGCATGCTTGTGGATTTCATGTGGCCAAGGAGGCCAAGGAGAGCAGCTCCAGATCTCCTATCATGCAGTTGATCCATCATCTTTTTGTTTTTACTATCTGTCACTGGGAGGAGAGTGACAAGGTTCCTATTTTACCTTTTCTTTATGTGTTGTTTGATTCATCTAGATATTTACCTTAGCATCCCCTATATTTTGGTTGTTTACTTATCCAGACTTGCGGTGGGTCCCATGCTATAGAGCAAGATATGTGGGGGGGGGGGGGGGGTTCGGGGTCATTTTGTCAGACGTCTGGCCTGTTCTAGGCTATCAAATAAGGATCAGTCAAGTAGGAAAGGTCAGAGGGCAGGACAATTTTGGCGTATAGCCGTTTTGAAATCCAACAACCCAAAGCGAAAAGTTCCATTCTAGACACATTTCATGTAAGTAGTCTATCAGTAGTGCAATTAATAATAACACTTTTTAAGTGTAGGTTTGAGGATAAACCTAATTAGAGTATAAGTCACTAACCTATAGTCGTAATTCCCTAAGGAAGTCCTAGTTTGCTATAGTGAATAGCTCTTATAGCAATCTGTCATACCTCCGGTTGGACGACGAAATCATCGGGCTGTGCAATGTTTAAAATGTTAGATCACAGACATTGAACATACACTGAACAGCACAAAACAATATGTAACATAATCTTCACTTCCATTAAGTATTTAAAATCTACATCAAGGTAGAAATCTCTAATACAAAAGGTTACTTGACAGCTAGGCATAAATGATAATAACTTTCTTAGACTCCCTCGATCAATCGTTGCTTTAGGGCATGCAAACTGTCATCTCTTGGTTTCATAGGAATACATGTGGTTCTGAAAGGTCAACATTGGTGAGTCCACAGGTTTTGATATAGAAAATACTTAGCTGCTTTGAAGCGTTATCTTTTTTTATGAATATAGTGATGCATTTTCCTATGTATCCTTATTCTTATTTTTCTTTAGTTGAGTATGAGTAACTACGTGCTTATTTCTTGATTTCTTGTTTTGTAAAATCTTACAGTATCCTAAAGGTACTTGTATGAACTTACGTATACTATAGTTACTAGGCTTGTACCTTCCTAGCATTCATTTACTGTTTGAGTACTTATGTTATGACTACCTTGAGGTTTTACAGTATTACGGTTTATAAATACTATTGTTTACCTTGACTCACTCGCTTCCTTGAGTCTGTGTATAATGTTACTACTTCATAGGTTTTACCCTTTTAAGTAGGGTTTTTAGTTGAGACTGGACAGTGTTACAATGAGTTTCTATAATCAAGCTTATGACGTTGAAACTCCTCGAGACGAGGCTTTATCAGGCGTCTCCAAAGTTTAGAAAGTTATGCCTATGTGACTCGACTGTCAAGGTTGTAGCTAGCAACCGTATGTGGGGGCATCAATCTCGTATAGATCTATAAATACATCTCCTGCTCACTTAATATTTAACGATTATAGGTCAGGGTTAGCTAACAGATGAATAATATCTCATTTAACAATTGTTTATGTGTAGTTGCATCAGGTACTTTGCTTTCTCTTGTTATCTTAGTTATGTTTAGTGTTATATATATATATATATATATATATATATATATATATATATATATATATATATATATATATGATAGTGTTGTTTATTCCAATAGGATATTCGGGCATAATAACAATGTTATCCCAAAAGTTGGTCAGGGTAACGACTAGGTATAATGTATTTCCTACAGATTTGGCCAACATAATGACTAGGTACAGTGTTGTATCAAAAGTAATCCACCATAACGACTAGGTGCGATGTTTTATCAAAAGATAGCTTGTATAATGACTAGGTACAATTTTGTATCAAATTTTTCCAGGGTGACAACTAGGTACGATGTTATCCCTAAAAGTTGGTGAGTTTAACGACTAGGTATAATATTATCCATAAAACTTTAGGGGTATCTACCAGGCATAATATCATCTTAACATTTTTAGGTATAATTAAATCACTAATATTATATATAGTTAGCGATAATTATGAAATTAACAATGTACTACTAAAACATGTATCTATCCCCCCACCTAGAAGCATTTGAAAATCGTAAAAGTGGGGTGGTGAACTCACCCTTAAAGCATGCTCTAACTGACTCCGGAATTCACATCGGGAGGCTCCAACCATTCAAGAGAAGAGAATTTCTTCAGGCCAAATATGAGATATAAGAGGATGTTTTGCAGCGTAAAGAAATGAAGAGGCGATGGCCTCTATATATAGTCGGAGATTTTGGGGGTGCATGGCATCATTGGAATGCACATCGCACAGGCGCATGTTGGCATTATCTAGAGTTGACACATGTCATCTTTTTTGTTGGCCACGTCATCCAAATCCTCATTAATCCAGTGTCAAAACATGCATCGTGCGTAGCGTGCGAGTGTGCACGCTCAGTCTTGTAAATTGCGTACTTTCCGCATACGCTTTCTGTTTTCGATGTTCTTTATACCCACGCTAAGGTCTTGATGTGTGCTACAACTTTCTTTTAGTTTGTTTTGGCTAATTCTAACTTTTATTTTTAGTCTATATTTTTTATACCCTTAATGATTTTACAAAAATAATAACTCTCTCATATGGGTTCTGTTTTTGGCATTCTTTGTCCCAAAATTCTTATTTTAAAGAGTACTGTAATTTTCCTTTTGGTTATTTTGGCTAGAAGTTAAATGTTCTCTTTGTAAATTTTTATGTTATAAATTTTAATGTACGTTTGATTCTTTATATCTTATAGAAATCATATATCTTTCATACAAAGGCAGACTTTCACAAATTTTATGTTTTAGAAAATGTGTTGATACTTACATTCCAAATATGTTTTCCGGTTTGTATGGTATTACGACCTTTTGCATTTCTGGTTCTTGGTTTTACTGTCTAATTGGTAGCCTATTTTTGAGTATGAGATTTCGAAACTATTTGATGTTATTAGATGTTGTAACCTCATTCATTTACGTTCATGTGTGTTGTTGTTCTGGGTGGTGACGTATTTTCCTTGGTTATCACATCAGTTGGTGACCACTTGACCATTTGACCAATCCATGCTCTTATTCATGCATTTGACCAGTTCATCTACTTCCTTCTTTTTCTTAGTTTCTTCTTCTTCACTTACTTCATCTCCTTCTTTCTTCTTCTATTACATCCAACACAATAAAATATGGTCATGTGTGACTGTGGAAGCATGGAAATCATAAGGACTTCCATCACTAAGAATAACCTCGGTAGGGAATATTATGCTTGCCCGTATATGGTACTATATTCTCAAGAAACATTTAGGGTTTTTTCGATTCTAACCAAGTTTTGCTAATTGATGATATTGAATCTACAGAGACCTAGGAGTGGGTTTCTTTTGTGGGTTGATGAGGCAGAAAATTATGCGCATGTTGTTGAAGTCCAGATTCAAACCTTAAGGGAAGTGGTTATCCAAAATTGGGGCCTGAAGATTTGCTTGAAGGAGGTGGTATGCCAAAACCGAAAGTTGAAGATTTGCTTACTGCTTAATTGGGTTTGTTTTTGACATAATTGTTTACAAGCTGTAATTTGTTGTATGTTAGAACTAAATTTGTTATGGATTTTTTGGTTTTTGGCAAAATCGGAAGTGATAATCTCATTGTCCTCAGCCTCTTTCTTTCCTCTCAGTGATGACACCAACAAGCAATCAGAAGTAAACTTATAACCTCAAAATCGGGACTGATCATCTCGATTGCAAAATTGAAATAGCAAAATGTTGCGTAACAAGGACTGAAACTTGCTACTAAAGGTAGATGGCCTAAAAAGACAGGTACTATTAACTTTGTTCACTTAAAAAGCATGAAAATAACACAAGGAACTAAATGAGCAAATATACAAAATATTATAGGGTTACAGTGTTATTTTCCTTAAAACTAGTAATAAACAATTCGGTGGTTTTTTGTGTGGATTTAATCTCATTGTTAATACAAAATCACATGTTTTTACACTTTCGAGCTTATGATAAGTATTAAACATAGTTAGGAATACTTGTAATAAAGTAGTGCAACTTTTTAGTTAAAACTAAAATCTTATTTGGATTAAGTTAGTAAAGTGTGTTTTTGTTAAAGAGTTTGTTTTAACTAAATAATTTAGCAATTAAGTTACATGAATTGTTTATGTTGTTTGGTCAAATTTGTTAGTTCCATTCTGATGTTTCCACTCAGACCGTACCTTGTTATTTTGAAACTTGCGCACTTCATCTCTAAAAAAAATGACCAAATTGTCCTTACTTTTTTTATTTTATTTTATTTTATTTTATTTTATTTTTTATTTTTCTATTATTTATAATTTTAAAATTGAAATAGGGCCCACCCAGCCCCATCTTATCTCATTATCTTCCCCGGTCCCTTTTGTGAACACTAAACCAAACATCATCCATCGTCCGTTCATAATCTTCTTTACCAACCACCACCTTTTCCATGACACTATCACCAGACCACCATTTTCACCTTCTCGACGTTGCCTTCACACACTATACCATCACCAGATGCAACACTACACTAGGTATGAGCATGGGACGGAACCGATATCGTTCCCGATTTTCCAAAAATCGAGTTTGGTTGAAAGTCAATTCCGAGTACCGAATCGAATTAACATTACCAATATTGATACCAAGAATCATACTGATTTTAAGTATAAGCAACAGTAACAACGGTATCGAGTCCCAAATTTCATTATTTTAGAGCATCGAGTACCATCCAATATGTTTAAATTTGGTACCGGTATGGGATCGAGATTTGGTACTAACTGCTAATCCCTACACTACACTATCAACATTGCCATTATTTACCATCATTTCCAAGCCACCATCAAGCTTATACCATCATCGACTTCTTCACATCATCATCACCTCTATGTACATTGTTGTCGGAATCCTCGACCACCCCTCTTTCACATTCAACAACCTACGACCACCAAAATCGGGTTTTGGAACCCTACAATCCTTGTCTGTTAAAGGTAAAATAGTTTTTTTTAAGTATGTCAGGGACAAACAATGCAAGTTTATAACTAACAAGGAACGTTTCGAATGAAAACAAAACATAGAGACAAAACTAGCAAATTCGGCCAAACCACAAGGAGAATTCATGTTATTTACTCTAATTTGACAAATAAAATAACATTAGAACTTGTTAGGGTTGCATTATAGATAAATAGAACATGTATTTGGAATTATTTCCAAACTTGATGTATAAAAACCTAAATTGTACTTCATGCTCCTTGTAGTATTTGGAATTTAAAAACTTATAATTCATATTTTCATATGTTATTACAATTCATTAAGTAATTAATAAAACAACTAAAAAAAACTCAATCAACTTTGTTAAAAAATATAATATATATCTCATTGAAGCAAAAAAAAAACACAGACCTTTACAGTTTACACCATTGTTGATCTGGAAAATGAAATAAAACTGCCTCAATGTATACATATAATCTACATTTGATATAATTTGCAAGGCAGTTCATTAACACTTAACCTCCTATACCAAAAGACTATGCAAATTGCAAAATATAAAACACATACACAAAACAAGTTATAATAATAAATCAATCATGAGAGAAATAATTATAACATTCAAGAAGCCTCCACCATCATCGTTAGATCTAACTCTTCATCTGAATCAATCACATCCTCAAAGTCATAGTACGGGTTCACCTACACCCGATTATTTTATCACCTTTTGTTTCTTATAAATTATAATCTTTAAAAATAAACACCTTATTTATTCATTTATTGTACCTTAGGTCTTGGTGTTATGGCTTCAAAACTATGAAAGATTGGGGTATCAAAATTAGGGGATTCCAAGACAATGTATGCCCCTTTGTTTTTGTACCTCTCCTCTGCTGCCTAACAAATGAACAAAACATATATAATATTAATATTAATTATCATATGAGTTATAAAGTTTGAATTTTTACCTAAATTTTATATACCATAATGTAAGTAGATCAAAGAAATGTTGATTCAAGTCTAAAATAGGGGAACTAAAAGACATCTTTTAAAGTAAAGAAATCTTGCCATAATAACTGAAAGTCAATATGTTTAGACTCTAAGTTGTACATATGTATAAAAAAAGTGGAAGAATTTTGAACATGTAATGAATTTATTTAAAGAATTGAATATAATTTATGTACATACCTGAAACTGTGGATAATCTGGAGCACTAAAGACAGTAATGAGTTTCCCAGATTCAACAACATGATCAATTGTATACCCTTCATCCATTCCTCCAAGACCAGGTCTTTTTTCCCTTGCATCAGGTCCTTCATGAGATCTAATAATTAACTGCAATAAATTATAATCACATGTTATTTTTATGATTTTATATCCATCAAATGAATAGATGAAGAGAAGATTGATAGCATTACCTTAAGATTGTTTTTCTTTAAGAATTCTTGTGTGTAGTCTGGGCCCCACAAAAGGCCAATACCTCTTTCTTTATTTGGAGATAAGCCTAGTTTCATTGAAGGATCAGACCATAAAACATCTCCAGGAATCAAGTTATGGCCTTCCCATGGAGGATCAAGAACAGATCTTCTGGCTTTCAGTAATTCATCTAATGAGCCAAGAGATAAGGGAAGTGAGTCTGGATTCAGTGTGACTTTTCTGTTCTTCTTTCCTTTGGATCTTTTTGATGGGGAAGGGGGAATATTACGAAAAACCCCTCCATGTGCTGTGTAAACTTGTCCTGCTATAATGGAAGCAAGAGGAAGTCCTTCAAAACATCCTAGACATTTTCGGTATACATGCTTTCCATCTTTTTTCTCACCATATTTGGCAAGAACTTCCTTTTCAAATCCATAAACTGAGGTGCAGTATTTGGATTCATGATTCCCACGAAGTAGGAAGACTCTTTGTGGGATAAACACCTACAAAACATGACATATCAGGATAGATTTAGGATCTTGAATCTTCTATACAAAATCTGACATTCAATATGAACATATTAGGTATGATGGAGTTACTAGTATGTTACACAAGAGACTTGCATTGAATTAACTATAAGAAACTAAACAGATTATACATTTTAAACTATATCTACAAAAACCAAGATGAAATTAGCCATGAAGAAATAGAACTCTAGATTAGATTGGCTTGTTTCTTTTGCAGGACATCTAGCAGAAGCTTTACTTATCTCCATAGGAGCAATGGGAAAATGTAACAAGAAGCTTTACTTATCTCCATATGAGAGGAAAAGAGTATTTCTTTGTATTGATGTAAGGAAATTGAGGTCCATTAAGTGTTACTTACTTTCCAAGCTAGCAAAAGAAGAAAAGTTTCAAGACCCCAAGCTCCTCTGTCAACATAATCGCCATTAAACACAAAGAACCTATTTTCAGATGGAAGCCCAGCATCTTTCAGCAAAAATAACACATCATGCAACTGCCCATGCACATCTCCTACAACGACCACACTCGATCCCACCACACCATCACTACCAGGTTCAATCGGAACCCAATTCGGCTCTTTATGTAAGATCTTCGACGCGGTGAGCACGAGAGCATCGAAAACTTCCACAGGCAGCACGGTAGGGAGTTCCGACGGCCTGAGGTTCTTGGATGCCCAATCGAAGGTTGACATGAGGTTTGTGACCCAATCTAGGGTTAGAGCACCACCAGACGGCCATGTAATGGGGATCTGAGGACGATTTTGAGAAGGAACAGGGGAGGGAGAGGGTTTTTGGTTGTCGTCGGATAAGGATGGGGAGGAGGCAGAGCCAGAGGCACATGCGAGGGAAGCGGATGAGAAGAGGTCTTCGGAGGAGGATGACGGCGGTGGTGGTTCACCGATGGCGGATTCCGGCGTCGCAAGTGGTAATGATTCAGTAGAATCTGGTTGTGATAACATTTAGCTGTCGATGATCGCCGATTATCAAACGAAATTGTGCAAAGTATAAGTGAAATTGTTGGATGCTCCGATCATAAAAATCAGATGCCAAAATAAATTAAAAAGAACAAAAAGAATGGATTGTGACGTGTTTGTGTGGTGTGTCAGAGCCTCGTCAACAACCCAACTTGAAAATTTCTTTTGGTCTTTGGGAAAATAGTCATGGCCAGGTCATGCATGCAATTATGACCCAAACTCGAAGCTAATAAAAATGGTTAACTTTTAATTTTTACAATGTTTTTTTAACCAAAACCATAAAATTGGTCTTTATGTGACATCTGTTTTAGGTATGAATTAATTCTTATATATATTAATTTTAGGTGGTCACAACGTTATGGAGCATTATCACAACGTGGCGGAATGTTTTAGACCACGGGATTAAATAACCCGTAATGGCGTGGTCATAGGTACCATGGCATGGCAGGTGTTTTTAGTGAAAACCCTTCAATTTTGGGCTTTGGACCCTATATAAAGAAAATTGAGGCTAGGTTTCGTGATCATTCAGTCTCCATCACCCTCTCAAACCCAAAAACCTTAACCCTAGCATCCATTGCAATTTGTGAACTCATTCTTGGTGCTTTTTGGTGATCCTTGAAGAAGAACGAAGCCTTTGGTGTGATAGTTTACTTGGGAAACATCATCTACTTCAGCTAGCACATCTCCTGGGCCTTGGTGAGTGTCTAAGATCTAACATTTTCCTTGCTAAGTAGTTAGATCTCTTGATTTTGTCCATTTTCTTCATGTCTTGATGGATTTGAGTGGTAAGATCTCATAAAATTTGCAACTTTATGAATCTCCAAGTTACTTAGAGTGTTTGGTGCCTTGGATTTAATTTATAAGTGAGCTTTAGTGTCATGTATAAAATATTGGTCATAAACCCTTAGTTTTGACCTAATAAGAGTTCAAGACATGCATTGGACATGCATATCTGAAAAAGCATGTTTTTATGATATTTTAGATACTAGAAACCTTTCTGTAATCGTGGGCCATGAGATCTTCAAGATTAAGTGCTTAATGATTAAGCCATGATGTGTTTTCACCCCCTCGTTTTGGACCTAGGGTGAAATCTTTACCTCTTGGTAGGTCTTAATGGATAAAGTTGGAAACTTTATCCATTTAGACAATGGAATGGACCATATTTGAGCTTTTGAGCTCTTAGAATCAAAGAAAACAACTTAACCAATTAAGTTGTGTGGAACCCAGTGCTCATGGTGTGGCCTTAGGTTGCCACGGCGTGGCGGCTGGGCTAGAGTCGTCTATTTTGTCGCTTTACTACCACGGCTTGGCGACCAACTGGAGTTGACTTTGATTTTGGCTTTTGATTATTGACCATTAACTTTGACCAAGTTTGACTTTAGGTTATTTGGGATATTTTGAATAGTAGATTGAAGCTTGGTCCCTGTGTGTTGTACAGATGACTCGTAGAGCCGTTAGTTGGAGTGATATCCAGTTTAGCTATCTTCCTGACATTGAGGTGAGTTTTCCTCACTATACTCATGAGTCGAAGGCACGAATGTCGGCCTACTGGATTATGGTATATTGGATTGATGTTATGCTGGTTATATGATAGACTTGTAGATTTGTATGATTACTTGCGTTCACTGAGTATGTATTAGAATGGTAGATCTGTATGATTACATGTACTTGTTGGTTATTAATTGTTATTGTATATATCGACATGTTATGGTTGGTTAGGTTGATGTGATCCTGGTTTTTACTGAAGGCCAAGATACCCAGGGTGGTCCAGATAGGACTGAAGGCCCGAGAGGCGTTCTAATCAAGTCGAAGGCCCGGAGAGTGGTCCAGATAGGCTGTAGGCCCTTTGAGGCGGTCCAGTCAGGCTAAAGACTTATATATGCATCTAATTATCTGTATGGTTGTGTGTGGTACTTTGGGGGAACTCACTAAACTTTGGCTTACAATTTGATTGTTATGGTTTCAGGTACTTCAAAGGACAAGGGTAAGGCGAATGCTTGATCGTACGCATCCTTTAGATTTTATAAGATTTGATTTTGGATACTTTGATTTATTATTTGATATTTGGGAACCATGTTTTGTATAAAATTATGGCTTTTGATTACGCTTTGAAATTGAAAAAATTTACCTTGATTTTTGGGATGTTACAAGTTGCTATCAAATCTCTGGTTTGAGCAAATTGGATAAGCATTCGTGTGAATCCAGACCCAAACTAAGGATCTATAAAATTTTGAAAATAGATTTTGAACTTGTTTTCAAAGTTATATTCAAAATTGTTTTCAAAGGTAACCAAAGAAGGATCAGATGTGTACGATCAACTGGAATAAGAAAGTATACCCCAAGATACCTATATTATTATTTTCTTATGATGATTATGATAGAATCACATGTTAGTTTGTAGGCTAGGGATCATCAGCAATTGCATGATAGAATTTCCTGACGTATAATACCTAATAGCCTAGGAGAACTTCTTGTATGATAAATGAAATTGACATCATTACTGTAGTTACTTAGTGTTTGTATCATAGTTGTACATAATTAAGATTTTATAGCCTGAGAGTGGTTGATTTAGCCTTATTTCTTGTTCCTTGGCTGCTTGTGGGCTTAAGGAATCAAGAATTCAACTGTATATGGAATCCAACGTTATGTATGATTAGCATACACGAGTGGCTGCATGGTTGGTGGAAGTTTCATGAGTGGGTGTAGGTGTAGCAGGCCAGTTGAAGGATGATTAGCCACTCTCGAGCATATCCTAGTTTTTGGGTTTGTTTCCGGGTAGTTTGTAATGATCTATTTAGAAAAATATAGGTAGGTGTGGAAGGTAGTATGGGCCCGTACTACTGGAAGCACAAGACTCGTACGCATATAAGGAGGTTACCAACCTCGAGGGTTTAACCTCTTTGTGGTGGTTGTAACAGTAGGAATTATGACATTTCTAATATATATATATATATATATATATATATATATATATATATATATACATATATATAGATTCATTTTTAGTATGGTGTTCACGAGGAGTTTCGGATCTAGAGTTCGTGGCCAGGATAGGTCATAATTGCCAGATGATGACATCTGAAAGTTGATTGCCACTGAGGTAGATGTTGTTGTTCGAGGTGCCATCCCCAAGGATTTTGGGTATATCAATACCTAGATGATTGAGATGTTCGTTGAGCGGTACTTCATTGTATATGAGATTGTTGTTGCTGCAACTACCACAACTATTATTGTTTTTGGGGTTCAGGGGAGAGGGTCATTCTAGTATCGGGACTTCTGCAACACAAAGTCTTCAAAGTGTAACAGGATCAGGACTCGATCATTATTGTGAGGTGGTTATCAGATGTGGAAGGTTGTTTCTTCATTTGTTCCTATTCGGAGGACTGGAAGGTCAGGTGCGCCCTAAACCTTCTTCTACTGGATATGAAGGATTGGTGGAACCTGGTGACTGATTCTTATACTCCTGAGTAGAGGAATGTTGTTACTTGGGGGTAATTCTCATATATGTTTCCCACGATGTATGCTCCCCTAGTGAAGATATATATATATATATATATATATATATATATATATATATATATATATATAGAGAGAGAGAGAGAGAGAGAGAGAGGGGTTAGCTTAGGAGTATCCGGCATTGAGGCAGATGACAGAGTCGGTGATGGAGATCACTAAGATGTTTACTGAGAGGACTCTTTTCTGTCTTGAGTACATTGCTAAGGAGTAGGCCCAGATGACATGATACTTGAGCATGCTCAAGATGGATATTTGGGAGTTTGTGTCCACTCATCGTTATAGTACCTTGTCGGAGCTTCAGGATGTCGCATGGAGATGGGAGATTGAGATTGAGACCTAAACAAGGGAGGAGAGGCAGGCTATGGTGCAACCACAACCTACGATAAACTTGTTCGAGCCTGTTGTTTCACGACAAGGAGGATAGAAGGTCGCACTTGTGGCAATTATGGGAAGGCACATGAGGGTCTTTGTTGATCAAATACTGGTTTCCACAAATATGGAAAGGATGTGCATTTTGCTAGGGATTTCCGTCAACCTGCCCCAGTACCAAGCACTAGGATCTGTTACCATTATGATCATGAGCCATGTGAAGGCCTAGTGTCCCTTGCTTGCTATCAGGCCCGTACAGGCACTTGACTCGACTACTTTGAGGATTATAGATGGATGCCAGGGGTAGGATGGAGCCCACGAGGGCTCGTGGTCATGCTTTCCAACTCACAACGCAGGAGAATAGGGTGGTGTCGGACGTCATTAATGGTATGTTTTCATTTATGATTATGTTAAGTTATTTATTATATGCTTATGATTATATTTTTGTACCTTTTTAGTGAACTACTTACCTGCTCTTAGGATTTTAAACGCAGGTGTGAGCCGGTCTTTTGTATCTCAGTCCTTCAATAGGAGTTTTGATATGTATCTTGGAGAGTTGGAGTGCTCCTTACGACTTTTCATCGCCAACGAGCACGGGGTTTCTAATTTGAGCATTTTTCGGGATTGTATCTTGGAGATCGTTAATGTGTCCTAACTGATCGATTTGATCCCTATCCCTATGGTGGGATGTATGTGTGATAGTAGGGATGGACTGGTTGATCAGGTTTGGTGCCTTGACAGATTGTGAGGGGCAACGGGTTGTGGTTCGAACCCTAAGTGTGGGAGAACTAATTATTTATGGAGAGGATAGTAGAGTTGGTTCAAATTTTTGTTTAGCCGACAGGACTCGAAAATATCTTTAGCATGAGTATATGGTTTATCTTGCATATGCTATTGACACTCGGGTAGAGAAGGGGTTTTCAGTTTCGGATATGCATGTAGTCAAAGAATTTCTAGATGTTTTTCCTGATGAACTACCCAGTGTGCCTCCTGTGAGGCAGGTTGAGTTCAGGATTGATTTTGTTCCTAACGCAGCCCTAATTGCCAAGGCACCATGTCTCTTAGCACCACCGGAGATACAAGAGTCGTCCTCCTAGGTTCAGGAGCTTTTGGGCAAACAGTTTATCTGACTGAGTAGTTCGCCTTAGGAAGCACCGATTTTGTTCGTCAAGAAGAATGATGGTTCACACCCGATATGCATTGATTACCAGGAGTTGAATAGGTTAACGGTGAAAAACCACTACCTATTCCAAAGAATTAATGACATCTTCGATCAGCTATGGTAT